GTTGAAGAAGAGGAAGAGGAAATGGAAACTGGACAAAGATGGGGGCAGTAAAGGCATAGATGCACTAGATGAAGAAGTTGAAGACAAACAAAGGAGAGTATTGAGGATGCAAAATTGGGTAGAGATGAATAAAGGGAAGAGGTAACTGAACAGGGGAGAAAAGAGAAAGATGATTAAGTTGCAAAAAAGGTTCAATTCACCAGGCAAACTGAAAAGAGTAGCTAATTTTCAAAGGTATTGATGCACTGAGGCTGTTGTTTGCAGGTTTCATTCTTTTGTTTTCAATAGTTTCTTCTATTGCTATCAGCAAATGTAAGAATAAATTTGAGGCAATTATTTGTGGGGAAAATAAATATACTGTAAATATGGAAGAAGTGTTAGGTATGCATTAGAGCAACAATGGACAACTTGAAGTCCAGGACTACGTGTAGTTCTCAGATGATGAGGCTCCTCCCAATTATCCCAATTTTTAATGCAAAAATGCAATCTTAATGCAGAAGAACAAGAAAACAAAAGCCATGAAGTGCAATTGCATTTCCTAAATTAAATATATTTAATTTAGTTTAACTTAAAGCTTTAAGTCACTTTCAGTCAAACATTCTGGTCTGTGTAGGAATTCAAATTAAAGTATTCCTGTCAGAATGTATCAGTAGTATTCCTCTACTTGAATGCACAATATGATGGGGCAATTTCCTATCTTTCTGGGTAATTTATTTTAATTTTGAGTGTTAGAAATATATTTATTGTCCTAGATCTTCTTTATTATGGACTACTTTAAAGTGTGTTCTCACCAATTTTTGAGAATGACATATTAATGAAATTTCAGTGGCACCCTCCCACATAAGATGTACATTCTCACATTTAACTATATCTGGAGCGATGAGAAAACGTATATTGACTTTTGTGAACTAAAAACAGCTCCACTTATTCCAACTTTAGGTAGCCACGTGGTTCATGGAAGTAACTTTCCAGAACTAAATGAAATATGTGTTAATAAGAAACATGGCAGCAAAAAAGATTTATTTGGATAAATAATGGTTTGGATGAATAATAATGGTCACAAGAAATAAATATTTTGGTTTGGGAAATAATCTAAAACGAATCTATCAGATACACAGGCCAAATAAAAAACAAATGTTTGGTGCAGTCAGAAGAAGGAATTTAATTCACTTTGCAGAAATGATTCAGGTCACGTCATGAAGAACTATTGATAGAAATCCCTTCAAAAATTGGACTGTTTGAATCAGCAGTTGGACAGGAGGAACTATGGCACAAAGCAAGAATGGACCAATGGTAAAAAGCAACTGAGGTCAAGAAAATGTAGAGTGAAACTAATCTGACAACAGTCTGTAGAGATTCTCAATCATTCAGGTCATCTCAGTCATCCAGGTCTGCAAGGAATATAAATCCTTCCATTCCCCACTATCTGTCAGAGCTGAAGAAGCTTCTTGGATGAGAAGCGAAACATCTTCAAAAGAAAAACCAAGAAAGTCCAGTTGTCTCTTGAAAAAAGCTCCTTTGGGTCAATTTGACAACATTATTAAATATAGTTCTTTTTGTTATCATTTATTTACTGATGGAGAAGGAAGATCTTTGTTCTTGTTGAAATAAATGTGCTAATAACTTTTTTTGTGAGCAGCCAGACAGGCAGAAGACAGAAAAGAAAGTTTGGATCTGAATTTGTGGCTAATTTATTTCACGTATAAATGCATAGGAATGAATGCTCAGTTGCTAATATTTATTGTTTATTAAACATTTAAGTTGTGGGAGGAGGGAGGAATAAGTGATACATGCAAAGCTTGCAAGAAAGAATTATATCCATTACCATAGTTTCATGGTATGTAGTCTGATGGGGATTTAAAAGCATCTTTAATGTAAGGCACAGTGTATCCACCGGAACATCACTTTCTTATTAAAATGTTGTCTTTTTGTGTGGTCCTTCCTGCAAATAATGGGAAGACCTTAAGAGCAATATCCATTCTCTGATTAAAATTATGCAGATGCCAACAAGGTTAATAAACTGAGAAGCGTGCATATTATTAAGAAAACAGATCTTACATTTCAAGTCAGAATTGAAAAGATGCTTAACTTCAGATTTGATATTCTTCTATATGAGTGCCAAGGCAGATGGGAGGGGAGAGGGAAAAACTTAATAAATATATGTTACCTAAAAGAGGAGAACTTTAATTACACCATGGACTACTGGATAAAATGATTACGTTTTCTACACTGTAAATTTCATACAATTAAATGCAGTAGTGTCACCTTATAACATGTTTCAATTTGATAATTATTTCAGTTCATTTACTCAGGAAAAAATATAAGCATGAATTTACTTAGTATCTCCCAAATCTAGTCATTTTCATTCTCTCAGACTGACTTGGGAGTTATTTGTGCTTGTCTGAACTTAAATAGATCCCTGACAAATTTAGATAAGTATTAAAATTGATAATATTATGGATGATAGCTTACTAATAAAAATTAATTCAGCACCGTGCTTCTTAGTGTTATTATCTGATATTATAAAACTTGATTTTAATGTAATATTTGGGATACACAGGGAAGCTTTTGACTGACAGAAAGCTCCTAGGGATGAGCTGGGTTTTTTTATTCTGATGTTAAGGGGGTTATTGATTTACAATGTGAATTAGGTTAAGAAATTTCATCAAAGGGTGTTTATCGATACCAGTGAACCAAATGGTACTTCCCTGTAGTGTGGATAATTAGGAAGGGGGATTCAAGTCTAGGCCAGTGATGACAATAGTAAAATGTCACCAAGGTTAAAATTTCCCCTTTGTGACAATCTATGCAACCAATCACAGAAAACATTTGTTTGCCTTTCAAATTGCTGTCCCATGGCTAAATAAAGGGCACTAACCCTTGAACACCAGTTTGGAATAATGATTACTGCAACAACCTAGAAAGACTATGAGTTATAGTCTCAGTTTAGGCATGAAAGCCAGCTGGGTGACTTTGGGCCCATCACTCTCTCACCACCCAACCACCTCAATGGGTTGTTGTGGGTTAAATAAGAGGAGGAAGCAATATTAGGTGTGTTCACTGTCTTGGATTATTTACCAAAATAATAAAGGCAGGCTATAAATAAGTATGGTGCTGGAGAAGACTCCTGCGAGTCCCTTGAACTGCAAGGCAATCAAACCAGTCAGTCCTAGAGGAGATCAATCCTGATTGCTCTTTAGAAGGCCAGATCCTGAAGATGAAATTCAAGAACTTTGGCCACTTAATGAGAAATAAGGACTCACTGGAGAAAAGCCTATTGCTGGGAACGATTGAGGGCAAAAGAAAAAGGGGACGGCAGAGAATGAGGTGGCTGGATGGAGTCACTCTGAAGCAGTAGGCATGGGCTTAAATGGACTCCAGAAGATGATAGAGGACAGGAAGGCCTGGAGGAACATTGTCTATGGGATCACGATGGTTTGGACATGACTTTGCAACTAACAACAATAGCAAAATAAATAAGTAAATGCAAATAATCTCTTTCTCCCTGGGAATTTTGCAAACTTATTAAAAGAGTTAAGATGCAATTAATATTCTTGGAATCTTCTTCCAGGAGATCCTTTTCCTTACTAGCATTTTTTCCCCAAGTACAGGGTCTGCTTTCTTCAGATCAACTGATTACTGATCCATTAATTGCAAAAGAATTGACTGACCAACTGATCATCATGGGCTGAGACAAATTGATTGGCCCAAAGTCCCTGAGATGGCTTTCAAGGCCAAGGCTTTTTAGCCCAATGCCTTAACTACTAACCAAATTGGCTCAGTCTCATTTAAACAGGAAAATAGTTCAACTATCAAGCCTGATTAAAACAAAATAGTCTCCATTACTTTTTAAAAAGTTTTTAATTTAAAAAAAAATTTTAAACAAACATCGATATGTGAACAGTGTAGCACCCAGGTTACATTCTAATTACAAATAAAATTAATAGCATTAGTCACAGTTATTACTTTCAACCAACTTATATATTTCTAATAGTAATACATATTTAGATAGTTATTCAATTATTCCATGTCTTCTCTTATTATTGCTCTTATTTTATTATATAAAAGTGTATTCACTAATCTTCCCCTTTCTTATTTCTATCTCTTATTCTAGATTTTAATCATGTTACCCTTTGCTACAAAACATTTTATTTCTATCCTAACTAACTTCTAGTCATATCACCAACCTACAAAAAAAAGAAGAAAGAAGAAAGAGAGGAAAAGCAAATCAAATCAAAACAACCCTAAAGACAAGAAATCATCTGTCCATCATCTCTTACCCGCTTCAATACTTTAATTGCTATGCTTTTTTATTTTTGACCTGCCTCCCATATTCCTCTCTAGGATCTTTATCTCTTTCTACATCTGCTTCTTGGCTGTTCAATCTGAGTATTTTTCCCACCTCTACCCTCCTCCACTGCCCAGTTTCCAGGATTTCTGCCCATGCAGAAATCTTGTCTCCATTTCTGATGCAGTACTCACACATTAGTACTTTTCTTGGAATAAGTATTTAATTTGAGTCTTTTAATTTAACATTCTCTGTGACATCTCCTTTAGCAATTTATTTTTTTAAATTTTTTTTAATGGGATGTTAGTCTGTACAGAGCCAAGGAGATATTTTAAGCATAGTAAATGAGAGTCTGGGAATCAGGAGGCCAGCATGTAGGGAGAAATGTTTAAGCCACATGGTATACTGATCCTGGCCATGATTACACTTACATAGATGCTTAGTATGTACACATTCTTTTCACAATCTTTTTTTCTCTCTATCAATCTAGTTTTTATGGCTGCAATAAATAAGATTCCTCTAGCTAAGAGGGACTTCCTGCTAAGCAGTTGCATTTAATTTGTGCTAGAAAATGTTTCTAGTGATTCGTAGCATAAGAAGTGTATGACTCCTTTTCTATTGTTATTTTTAATGTGAAGAATCTATCACAATGCCGATGGATTCCCATTTATCTTGTGAATCTCACGCTTTGCCCTTTTCCTTTTGAACACAGATGAATGTGCCACACTCATCCTGGCCTGCTTATTCTGCCAGTTTTGGGAGTTTCTGTTCATGTTGCCCGACGTCTGTGAAAACTGGCTGATCGATACCTGCTGCCCTTCCCATAGATACTACCAAACATCAAGCGACACTTCCAACAACGGTGACTGCAGCTGCAACTGTGACCTTGATTGCAGCATCCTTGAGACTTGTCAGGAAAGCGGAGAATGTCTTGAACTGGCTCTGGAAATCTCACAAGTCTGTTATCACTAGAGTAAAAATACTTGTGGGGTTCCCTCAAATTATTCCTGAGGAAACCGAAGGATGGGTTGATTTAAATCAGAATAGCAAGCTTAGAGCAACATGTTTGCCAGCTTCACCTGTTTAAATGCATCTTATTTGAAATCCTGTGCAGTCTGTATAGCTTGCACCCTCTCGCCTCAAATTTAAGATGTTCTGGATTAGAAACTGTCTTGTAATGAGGTTTAAGAATCATGTATGTAATATTCCAAAGTGGGGAACATAGATATTGTTTTCCTTTTCTGATAAAACTCAACTTCAAGAAACTAAAGGCAGTTTGGTAAGTAGTATATTTAAGACAATTCTCTCCACTATAAATAAGTCTTCACTCAAGACATAATTAATAAGATATGCTGAATTTAGTACTGTAAGATTTAATGACAGCTCAGAGGAGCTTCTTCAAGAGGCAAATGGACTTTCTGGTTTTTCATTTGGCTTTGCGAAATGTCTTCAAAGAAAAACCAGAAAGTCCAGTTGCCTCTTGAAAAAGCACCTTTGGGATAACCATGACTTGGATGACTGAGAATATCCATAGACATTTAATGACAGCATGTGCAGAAGATGGGGAGTTTTTTGCTTGTTTTTTTAAAGTTATTGATTTAATGGAACATCTATCTATAAGATATCTCCATCTCAAGTATCATTTGCAGAGAGCAAATTAGAAAACAGGACAATAGACTAGATATGCCTTAATTTGACCCAGCATGGGACATCCCAATTTATTAGTGAATCAATCCAATTGCTTGCAATTTTTTTGCAAATCTTATTTACAATTGATTCTGTACTTCCTGGAGAAATGCTTGTCTTATTTTAGGACCTCAGCCAGCTTATCTTCCTAATGGATTTTATATATAAACATATTCCACATTGTTGGCAATTATTAATAATGATGTTATGTCCTTTTATAATTAAATTTTCATTTTTACGGTCTCTTATGACACACCCACATGCACATACTTCATTTCAATCAGAAAATTTAATGAATTAGAAAGAAGGTGAAGCATAATTACAGTAAATGTACATTTAAACATATTTTGAGTGTATTGTAAAGAACATGTATTTTACCATGGTTCTGAAAGCTGTGAGCCTGAGATTTTCATTGTGCACCAAAAGATTATGGCAGCATGATGCTTCTTCGTGGTGTTGGTTCCACCAGAAAACAAGGCCCCATTATCACGTTTTAAAATTTTTTCACTACTTTATGTATGTGTATATATATATTGATTTTCACAATTGTATCATAAGGAATGGATTTTGGATGCCATTATACTGTTGCAAAATAAATTGAATTTCAGAGATGAACTAATGAGAGTTCATTGTCGATGTCGTTAAAAGTGACAGACTCCACCCCTGTCTAAAATCCATCTGTGTGTGGCATGAAATACCCACCCTGAGCACAAAGGAAGAATGCAGAATGTGATCATTCAGAAGACTAGCTTATAAACTACCTCGGGGAAACCATATTATTTTGTGCATCTCTATTAGCAAGAGATAATCTACTGTATGTTCTAGTGTATATTTTATAGAAGCACGGTCAGCAACTGATAAAAACCCTGAGCCAAAGGCAGATCATAAAGCCAGCAGTTTAGAAGGACACTTAATTAGTACTAATACCTAATCTGGGTGACTGGATGGAACTGAACCAGAGGTGGTATTCATCAGGTTCTGACCAGTTCTGGAGAACCAGTAGTGGAAATTTTGAGTAGTTTGGAGAACCGATAAATACCACCTCTGAATGGCCCCACCCCATCTATTCTCTGCCTCCCAAGTCCCAGCTGATTGGGAGAAAATGGGGATTTTGAAGTAACCTTCCCCTGGAGTTGGGAGGGAATGGAGTTTTTACAGTATTCTTCTGTGTGTGTGTGTGTGTGTGTGTGTGTGTGTGTGTGTGTGTGTGTCTGTCTGTCTGTCTGTCTGTCTGTCTGTCTTCTAGGGCTGAGAGAGAATGACTGGCCCCAGGTCATCTAGCTGGTTTTGTAATTAAGGTAGGATTAGAACTACCAACTTCTGGTGTCTAACCTGGTGCCTCAACCACTATACCAAACTGCCTCTGCAATTCCTAGACTTGGAATTCTAACACCGCATAGGCTGATGCGTTTTATTTCAAATATACTGTATGTATATATTTAAGTGCATTTATAATTGTGCCTATTATGCATTTATTTCTATGGTACATAGTAAAAGTGAGTGAAAAATACAGAGATAGGAAAAGAAAAAGGTATAGTTCTAATTGGCAAACTCTTAACTTTACAAACACTTGAAACATGAACAATTGCAATCATTTGAATTGGGCTTTAAATAAAATGAAATAATAAATAGAGCTCAAAAAAGGTATTTAAAAGCAGATGCATTACTGAAGAAATATTATTTTTGAGTTCTTGATTATTAAATTGGATAGTACAGATTTCTTTTATTCAAAAATTGTTTTTCTGACTGCAGTGGGTAAAAGAGGAAAGCCATGATAAGTTACTATATTTTGAAAGACACCTTCTCTCTGTCTCTCTGTCTACATTTCTCTCTGTCTCTCTCTCTCTCTCTCTCTCTCCCCTCATTAAAGAAATAATCAGAGTTCAAATATAGATATTATGAGTGACCTGGTGGTGTAGTGGTGAAGACTCTCGCACTTGGAAGGTTGAGAGTTCAATCTTAGGTAGCAGCAGATATTTCTGTCCTAGGGTACAAAGAAAATCTGCTGCAAACTCCACATGGCGTCAGGAAGGGCATCGCCAGTAAATGCTCAGCTCCATCCAGTCGCCCGACTCTGCCCTGAATTAAGGATTAAAGGAGTAAAAAGGGAGTTTAAATATAGATATTTTATCCCAAGTTATAGACTCACAGCAAGCAGTATTCTATCATTAGAATTTCTAGAAGTTTCATTTGTATTTCCCACAATGGGAAACTTTTTGTGTATTTGGGAACTATTCTAAGTCAGGAAAAACAAGAATAGCAAGAATGACAGGCGCATGGAATTAAGCAAGAAGAGTCTCCCTCACCAAGGGCCTAGGTAAAGAGCCAAATTTCTACTGATTTTTTTTAAAGAACAAAGTAGAGGCCATCCAGATCTCAAGAAGAGCCTCAGTTGGTGCTGGTACAGAGAAGACAGGCTTCTGGATCTGATGGGTGATATAGTTTAATCAAAGGAACTTGGACCACACCAAACCTGTAGAATTGAATCAGCTAGGCAGATGTTATGGGAGACATGTGGTCCTTCAATCAACAATCCCTCTGCTGTGATGTCGGACTTTAGAGGTAGCAATTAGCCCTTTGAATCATACCTAGAAGCAAATTGGCAATCAGTGCAGTTCATGAAGCAGAGGTATTCCATACTGGGGCATGCCCATCACTGCCTGTGCCTCTGAATTCTGGACCAGTTCAAACTTTCAGGTTGTCATCAAGGGCAGCCCCTTGTACAGTATGCTGCAATAGTCAAGCCATAATGTTAATAGGGCATGAGAAACTGAAGTAAATTTGAAAAGCATAGCACATATTTAAACAAATTGAGTCATAGAATCATAGGGGTGGAAGTTTTCTTTCAACTTCCTATCCAAGGCAGGAACTCTTACACCATCCTGGACAAATGGTTGTCCAATCTTCTCTTGAAAATCTCCAGGGATAGGGCATCCACAACTTTAGGAGGCAAGCTTTTCCACTGATTGATCAATCTCACTGTCGGGAAATTATTTTCAGGTTGGATCTCCTGATGGCTTCCTTTTAAGATCACCTGCTTTTAATCTCTTATCTTCCATTTGCTTTGTCAGGAAGTTTGTGTCATTCCTTGATTTTAATTTGCCCCCAGATGCAGGTCTACATAGCCAACTTTTATTATATTACACACCCTCCTAGCAAACCAGCAGCGTACACCAACATATAACAACACACCCTTCTAGCAGACTACAGTCTACGCATAACAATGTAATCATTGTCAGGGTTCCAAGTAACACCCCCAATGAAAAAAGACTCTGAGGCTTGAGGTTCCTCAAAGTTCCATTTTATTAGACATGTCATATTGGCACATCTGGGAAAATCCAAATATGAAAGTTTCCAGGTTTCCAGATGAAAGTTAAAATCCCTGCCCAGCACCAACATCAGAGGTGGGTTCCTACTGGTTCAGACCAGTTTGGCCGAGTAGGTAGTAACTTGGCTGGCCACCCACCGCCCCAAATCGGTTCTATCGGTGGTGCCTTTTTTTACCTACCGCGTAAGCGTGCATGCATGCAAATCATGTGTATGCCCAAAGCACATCCCTAAGCGAGCTGGCAGTAGAAGAAGCCAGAACCCACCCCTGATCCACATGCCCATCACACGATCCAATCAGGCACCTTCCCCACTGGAGATGCCTCCCGTCACACCACTCCAGGTGCAGGGCAAAATGTCCTTGAGAAAGTAATGTTATTTTGACTATATCTACTCCACTCTATATAATTCCCCCTCCCAACTTCCCACAGGCTTAAATGTGGCAGGTCTGAAGGCTCAATGCAAAAGATGACTTCCAGGCCTGAGAACCATCCTGATTGCAAAGATTTCTTCACAGTTCATCTATGTCTCCATGTTTGCTTATTAGAATAAAGGGTAGAAAGGATTTTATAATAGCAATAGCAGTGAGACTTATATACCGCTTCATAGGGCTTTCAGCCCTCTCTAAGCGGTTTACAGAGTCAGCATATTGCCCCCAACAATCCGGGTCCTCATTTTACCCACCTCAGAAGGATGGAAGGCTGAGTCAACCCTGAGCCGGTGAGATTTGAACTGCTGAACTGCAGATAACAGTCAGCTGAAGTAGCCTGCAGTGCTGCATTTAACCACTGCGCCACCTCGGCTCTATAATCAGTCAAGAAAAAAAATATTCCCAGTGACAATAGAACTATTCACCTTGAATGTCCTCCCTGACTTTGCTGTACATTTTCTCATTTAGAAACAGATATCATGGCCAGGGAAAGAACGGTAAGTGCTATTAGGTAAACTGTATAAAAAGA